CTCAATAAACATCAATATGGTTTCCGTAGGGATTATTCAACATGTATGGCTCTTACCAGTCTTTCTAGTAAAGTCATAGACGCCTTTGAGGCGAACGAATTTGCAATTGGAGTTTTTATAGATCTGTCTAAGGCATTTGACACAATTAATCACAATATTTTACTATCTAAACTATATCGTTATGGAATACGTGGTGTAGCTCTTAAATTTTTCACCAGTTATCTTAACAATCGATTACAATGTACCAAATACCAATCTTCTATTTCGGAGTTTAGGACAATAACATGCGGAATTCCACAGGGTAGCCTGCTTGGGCCATTGTTATTTATATTATATGTGAATGATATTTATAAATCTGCTGATGAATTGTCTTTTATACTGTATGCAGACGACACAAACATATTTCACAGAGATTCAAACTTGAAGTCTCTTATGGATGCAGTAAATGCAGCTCTATATGTGAATGGTTCAAATCTAATAAATTATCTATAAATGTAAAGAAATGTAATTATATGATTTTTCACAATGGAAAGAATGTAGATTTAAATGATTTCAATATTGTTCTTGATAATGTCATATTGCCAAGGGTAGATAAATTTCTTGGCGTTTATTTAGATAGTTCCTTGTCTTGGAAATACCATATTCACGAAGTTGAAAGTAAGGTGTCCAAAAACATTGGCATTATATCCAGACTCAAACATCTCTTGCCCAATCACATTCTACGTATGTTATATTGTGCTCTTATACTTCCATATTTTTCTTACTGTAATCTTGTTTGGGCGAATTCCTGCAAGTACAAAATACAAAAGCTTATACTATTGCAGAAGAAGATTATTCGTATAATATCCGGAATGCACTATCGTTCCCATACTGGTCCCATCTTTAAACAAATTATTTTCTTGAGATTCAGTGATATTAACTTGCACCAACAGGGTATTTTCATGTATAAAAGCATGAATAACATCTTCCCATCACAATTTAGTGATTTTATCAATTTTAAATGCAACTCGGAAACCCATACGTAAAATACGAGAAGCGCTGCCAACATTCGTCTCCCTAAATATAGAACCCAAAGATTTCAATTTGACATTCGATACTCTGGACCAAAATTTTGGAACACCTTACCATCTATTCTACACAAATCGCTCTCCTTGCAGACTTTTTCCCGTTAGGCAAAAATGTATTTAATTGCTCGATATTGATACCCTCTCTTGTATTTATGTGTGAAATGATCTTTTGTGGAATTTAATGACATGTTTGTATGACCGATTATATATTTACTTTGATAACTTGTTGCTAGTACCATCTGTATATTCCCAGGACAATGCTGTCGGATAAAGCTGTTGTCTGTTTGATGATTTTGCTTGCTTGTAATGATATGTACCCGCTGTCTATTTTACAATTGTACTTCGTTATCTTTATGATGTAATCGCAGACACATGTACAACCCAATTGATGTAACTTTATCTTTATAAGTGAACATGCCTTCCTATACTTAATTCTCTCCTCTCTTCCTTTCACTATTTTTTCTTTCCTATCAACGTTCTGTTATATACAATGTAATTTTCATAATAATATCTATAATGTTCTTTCGGTAACTGTGTTAATTTATCATGGGCGTTCCCAACTCAAGCTACGCTTTCCGGATTTTCGCCTCCTTCCGTATCTGAATTAATTACTGTATACTCTATGTTGAAATAATTGTTACATATATCATGTATATATACATTGTGTTTTATATTGTGCTGTTGAGAAGGAAATAAATGTTAATAAATACAAAATACAAAAGGTTGTACATAATGTGAATTCTACCACACCACACTCTCACAAGTCCATATTTAGCAAAATCTACCGGCGTATATTGATATATCACCATATATCCAGGTTTCTTTGTCATTTCCTGTAAATTGATATGCTGTTATATATATAGCACCACATAGCAACAGCAGTAGGTGTCTAAAGAAGAGGAAATTCCGTCAGGAATAATACTTTGTATCTATTGACTTCCGTTGTATTCTGCCTCCAAATGTGGGCGAATCTTCAAACACCATCGATGTCTACTGTCAATGTTCATCGACGGTCTCGGCAGATCTCTTCTTAACAATCGTTCAACAAGCGTTACTTTTATTTGATGAACTGAAGCGATTCGGTTCCATTTCTATTTTTCTAATCTTGTGAAAGAGAGAAAATTAGCAGTAAGATTTAAACAGGAATAAATATTTTCGATACTACTACAATTAAGAATACTGGATATCTTTATGGTAAGGTTCTCAAGGCGCTCCAATATTACCCCAGCTCTGGCGAGGGTACTGCTAAATTAACTACGAATTCGTCAATGGCTTGCATACAAGGACATTTCTCAGCTTGTTGAGTTTTGAATCATCTGTTTGGAGAATCATGAATGATAATATGAGGGACTTGGAAGTGATGAGACGACTTGTATTCCTAATGATCAGTGTTTGGTCAGTTCTCGGCGTTCAGACCATGGCTGGAGCAACGGTTTGTCCGAAGGACCTTGATAGTAGTAAGTAGTAGTTAGTAGACCCTACAACTTGTACATGCATTAATTAAGCATTTTCTTACAATTTATTTCAATCAGCTGTGGTAATTGTATTATGTGCGTATCCGGACACCTACCCCCTGGACATCCACCCCCGGATAACCATCCCCAGTCAACTACCCCCTAGGACAACTACCCCCAGCCAACTACCCCCGGACAACTACCACCTAGGATAGTTGTCCGGGGGTAGTTGTCCTCGAGGATAATTGTCGTAGTTGTCCGGGTCGTAGTTGTCCCGGGGTGGTTATCCGGTGGTGGATGTCCAGGGGGTAGGTGTCCTAGGGGATATTTGACTGGGGGCGGTTATCCGGAGTGGATGTCCAGGGGGTAGGTGTCCTAAGGGGTAGTTGACTGGGGGCGGTTATCAGGGGTGGATATCCAGGGGGTAGGTGTCCTAAGGGGTAGTTGACTGGGGGTGGTTATCCGGGTCGGATGTCCAGGGGGTAGGTGTCCTAGAACCGTCTTATGTGATGTCAATGACAAGATTTATCATGAATTTTTATGTAAATAACTATTAATATAGTACATATTATAGATATTTTTCCATTTGGAGCTTTTTGTTTGTCCCTTTATGTGCCGTGTTATGTGTGTGTGTGTGTGTGTGTGTTTTATTTTTACAGACGTGTGTCAATCAGATATGATTATTTACGTCTGGGGACCGACCTTTAAACGTCACCATCCGAAAGACGTGACTCAGTTTCGAACCTGCGTCCTCGGCTGAATCATGTTTTTCTGTCTGTATTGTCTCTCATAATGCATTTCGAGCTTTAAGTGTCTTGCCTGTTTTCTTGTAGATTTTCTTCCTGTTGCTTGAAAGAGGTATTATATAGGTGTTATACAGAGCTTTGAATTACAGGAGGAGTAGTCTAAAGGGCAGATTTAATACGACTGAATTTAATTGAAATCAGCAGAAAATTCGTGCAGCATGAATAATAAGCTATTTGAGCTTTGGAACCCGTGATGTCTTGTGATGTTTATATTTGAGCAGGCTATTACAATTTAAAGGATATGGATTGACCCCCATCCCCCCAGATAAAAAGGAAATGAATGAATAAAATGATGATAATAATAAATAATGATAATGATAGAAGTGACAATAATATTTATACTGATAATCACAATATTAAAAATGATAATATTAATAATAATAATAATAATAAAAATAATAATAATAATAATAAGCAGAATAATAATTAAAAAAATAATAATATTATTTATAATAATAATAATAATAATAATAATAATAATATTATCAATGATAATAGTAATAATAAAAACAATGATACTACTACTAATAATAATAATGATAATAATGATGATGTTATAGCTGTCCAGAGAATACTAATGATTATAATAATAATGACAGTAATAATAATACAAATAAATTATTATAATACTGATGTTGTGTACATTTTATTATGTATTTTCTTTATTTCTGGAAATCAGGTCAGGGTTTGGGTTTGGGTGTGGGTTATGGATAGATTATGATTATTCAATTCAATTCAAGACTTTATTCCAGACTCAGCTGCAAGAGCAGAGGTCCATATAACATATTTACATGCAGATATAAACAATGAACACAAATAAGGGAGGAACATATTATTAAAAAGCTGTGCTTCAACCAAGGTCTCCTCGTCTTTCTTTATTCTACATTGTATTGTTATGATTATAGTCTATTATATTTTGTCACATGTGTTTTCTGGAAGACAAATAAACTTGATACTTGATACTTTATACATATTTACATAAACAATGAACAAAACTAAGAAGGGAACACATATGGGTATACGAGGAGCAAAACTAAAATACTTTAACCAACCTTGCCGACTGTGACAATAAGCTACAGAACCAGAACTTCCACAGGTCTGAGGTGGTTGGTTGGTGTTATTTTACCTGACTGCTAAGAAAGCATAAAGCAGGTGAACCTTGTACTACTCTGAACACATATGGATATATGAGAAACAAAACAAAACTACTTTAATCAATTATCAACCTCTGCCGACTGTGACAGCAAGCTACAGAACCAGAAATTCCACAAGTCTGAGGTGAACCTTGTGCTGTTATGCATTGGGTTTACTAACACTTTAACAATCGTATTTTCTGAAGTGTCAATTCTCTGAATAAACTTGAAAATTAGATTTCTTACAACAGGGGTTAGGCCCTGTGGCCAAGGTTAATTGGTCCTCGGGTCAGGGCTTAAACCTATTCCATAGGATCAAGTTTAGGGTTAGGGTTCCTTGTGTTGTGAAATATTCGATATCCAGCTGGTCCAAGTAAGGTTTTTCATTACTCCAATCTCACAGATGAGCTTTCCTTTCTGGATAAGACGGCAAGCGATGTGTACTCCACCGAGTGCCAGTACCGTGTTCTCCAGTGTATGAGCGTCAATTTCTGTAGCATACAGTGGTTCTTCAATGGCATCCCGTACGACTCCTGGAGTTTGGGGAACAACTCCGACACTAAGTTCAAGTTAGAGGATAGCAACCAAACGCTCAAGTTCCTTTCCGCAGACGTCGACTCTGAAGGAACATACACTTGCGTGGTTTCGAACGGTGTGCGGAATATTAATCGGAGTATCAACTTGCGTATCCAAGGTAAGCAGGGGCGGGGCATAAAGGGTGAAGGGCTTGAAAGAATAAAACTAATAACAATGATGATAATAATATTGATCATAATATAATTTTGATAGTAATAAAAATTGATCAAAATGATAGCATGAATGATAATTGTAATTATGATAATAGCAACAATAACATTACTAACAATATTGTTAATAATAATAAAAGTAATAACAATCTCTCTCTTCCAACCCCCTATCTTTCTCTATCCCCTCACCCCCCCCCCCCCCCCTTCTCTCTCTCTCTCTCTCTCTCTCTCTCTCTCTCTCTCTATCTCTATCTCTCTCTCTCTCTCTCCTCTATCTCTGTGCAGAGAAAATATGGCTCAACAAACCCATTCCATTGAAATCGTCCAGCGGTGTGTGCAAGGATCAGATGGCCGTTCTTGGCGGAAACGCCTCCTTCTTCTGCCAGTTCAAGTATCGAAACCCCGGGGGCTTCTTGCAGGAGAGTTGGAGGAAACTGAACCAGACATACGGGGGATTTCAACTGGTGGACTTTTATGACATCCCAGGCACGGAGTTCACGCATGGGTACAGAAAAGAAGACGAAAATGTCATCCTAACTCAGAAAAACTGTCAAGAGTAAGCAAGATTTTTCGTTTTTATTAACTTCTTATCAGATCTTGACTTCAAGAGGGGCATCACACAATTGTAATGCATATGGTTCAGCCAAAGGGGTGGTGAAGCAAATGCTACGTAAGTACTGTTTTGCATCATTTTGCATGAATTTTTCTTGCGTTTTGAATAGCTTGCCAAATGTATTGGGCTTACAAACGATTCCCTAACCTGCTGTTTGCTATGGCTGATTTTCAGGAGGCTCGCCCTACCGACCCCCTACCACTCGACAAAACCTAACCTAGCATATCTTTAAACATAAGGAATATGAGAAGAAAATGTGCCTCCTTCCCGGCGGAAAACTTGAAATATATAACATTTATTCCGCTTATCCGAGAGCTTTTTGACGTATTAGGGTGGTATACATATTTATGATTTTCTTTATGCTTGACTCTCTTTACCCAGGAAGCCTTTCATGATTTTGTCTACATGGCTGAACATCACGAATGTGACTGAAGAGGCTTTGGGGAGGTACCAGGTACATTGTAAGATCTCCGGGTTCTTAACGAAGGTCAACCTTACACTCTCGCTGGGTAAGCATTATCTTTGGACCGCGTAGACACCTTACGCCTTTAACTAAGATTGACAGCGACTTTCTTACGACTTTACTACGATTTTGGCTTGTTTTCGACATGGTCGCAAATTTACTACCATTTGACTACAGTTTGACTATGACCTGACCATGACGTGACCGCGACTTAGCTACGACTTGACCTAAATTGGATTCTGAAAGATATTGGGATAGGTTCAGGTGTGGACTTTTAAATGTACATGTAGATTCTGCCCAACAGGTCGATTGAACCCTTTGACTAATGAATCCTCCCACTCCCATATGGTTTTAACACAGGTTTTAACACCCGGTTGGTTTGAAAACAGTGTAGCCTCATTCGTATTATATACCTTTAGAAATCTAGCCATCTGATTGGTCGAAATTGGAGTTGTGCTTTTAGCCATGCCCGCCTACCGGTCAATAGTCTTTTAAAAGATGCCCGCAAAGGTACATTTTGGTGAGATCCCTATTGGTTTACGTGTTAAAAGTTTATTTGTGCGAGCGCGGATACAAAATACAGTGCAGTACTGTGTGTAGGATTGCCGAATGATTGTAACATTCAAGCAACTTTCAAGCGAAGGTTTACAGACAGTGTCTCAGATTTTCTGTGATGTTTTATCCAGTCTTTACTATACAAAAAACAGGATAAGGGTAAGAATTCTTTGTACATTTTTTGTGAATTCGGTATATAAAAGATATAAAGACTGCTTTAATATTCGAGGCATATTAGTTTTTATAGTCTCTCGGGGATGTTGCATCCTGCTATCACCCTCTCGGAACGCCTCGGGTGATATCAGGATGTAGCGTCCTCTTGAGCCCATAAAAACACTATCCCTCTCATAGCAGTTATTATACCTATATTATTACATAGGACGAGAGGATCAAATGTGGATCAAACATTTCGTCCAAGGATATTAGTACCGAACAGATTGAACCCTGGATCGATCATAATGAGAATCCTCCAGTTATACCACAGGGATCTCACATTAATATCAGCATCTCATACGTGCGTGTTTCTTTATCTACTTTCTCACAGCGACCACAGAGGAACATGTAGTCAAGGTCACGGACACAACCAGTGTGGTGGTCGTGGTTGCGACATTGACCATCCTCCTTTCCCTTGTCGTGTTGTCATGGAAACGCTATGGCACTGACGTCAAACTTTGGAATCATGACCATCGCGCCACACTAGAAACAGAAGGTATAATTTCAGCCTCCTCTCCCTCCCTTTCTCTCTCTGTCTATCTGTCTATCAATACATCTATTTCTATAACAGTCATGACAGGTAGGCCCAATCAATATCCCACTATCACACTTTCTGTGTCTCTTTATCTCTCACTCCGGCCTCTCTCTCTCTCCCTCTCTCTTTCTCTTATCCTCTATCTATCTATCTATCTATCCATATATTAATCTATTTCTATAACAGTCATGACAGGTAGGCCCAATCAATATCCCACTATCACACTTTCTGTCTCTCTTTATCTCTCACTCCGGCCTCCCTCCCTCCCTCTCTCTTTCTTTTATCCTCTATCTATCTATCTATCTATCCATCTATTAATCTATTTCTATTACAGCTAAGACAAGTAGGTCCATTCAATTTCCCACTATAACCCATAAAAGCACGTTGTCTCTATTGGCACAGCATTTGTAAATACGTGTTACAGCAAAAGAGAAATTCCATGGCATAAAAAACGTCTCTTCGACTATAAAAAAATGCATTAATCTATCCCTTGCTTTCCCTTGCTTACACTACAATATTAAATGACATGATGCTGTAATCTGGGCTGTGAGCCATGGAAGGGGTTACTAACAATATACAGAGGCTTTGATTGTCTGAAAATATTTTTTTTTAAAAGAGGTTGCTTAACCCTATTTTCCCCTAGGGTTTATGCCAATAAGGAAGTTTACAGATAGCACATGGTACAAATGACCCCAAATATCCACAGATCTTTTACACATGGAGAAGTTCCACTTTGAGCATCTTATAATAATAACTGCCAAAGTCCTAGATGTGCTTCATGAATACCTTTTATCTGACCTCTTGAAAAGAATACTTCCACCTGCGTATCATAGAATGTACCGTTGGTGCATAAATGAATAATGTTACATAACTTTCATGAGCGCATATCCAGTATTCATCTCTGTGGGTTTTACCATTTTGGTACAAATGAACTTCATCTGCCCATGCGCAGATTGTATCTGTAAACTGGCTTATTGGGGACATGAGTATGTAGAGTGGGAGTTTGAGAGTAAATGGGATCAACCAAAGTAGAGTTATAGCTGTCATTCCACCGTCAAGAGAGGGCTTCCTGCTTAAAGTGGCATTCCATCACCATACATTCATTTGGCAGTTCATCTAAATGACACTCTCCACCCTGGTAGGAATGTATTCCTTGGGCGCGATAATAAATTATAATTGAGACACGAGCATCCCATGGGATGGATATAAACGCAGAATAAATCTTGCTATTATCATTGTTGTTAAGATTGTTGCCCCATCTATCTCTCTCTCTCCCTCTTTTTTTAAACAAGAAATAGATTTAAAAAAAAAAAATTCTAGGACGTTCATGATATGGAGACATATTTGTCAAAGACGTCATTTCAAGCTATGCTTTTGACGACCCCTTTTTGTATGATTTTTTTTATGACCATGAATCAATCAATGTGTGATTAATTTTGTCAATTATTCTTATGTATTTATTTTTTCTACCCTCCCCAACCCCTCTCTCTCACCATCTCTCTCTCTCTCTCTCTCTCCTTCTCTTTCTTTCTCCAGAGATAGATAACAAACTCTACGACGCATACATTATTTCATGTTATGAAGGCCAGGATAAATCCTTTGTCGACAACATTCTCTGCCCGAGTTTGCAGGACCAGTATAAACTATTCATACGAGAAAGAGACGCAACATTCGGCTCTGGTTAGTTCGATCTTTTTTTGCACTCCCTTCAGTAAAGTTCTGTAAGTGTTAATCACAATATCTAACAAAATTACGTGGCGCTTGCGATAGGATGAAATGGAAGTATGACTGAAGCATAAGAATAACAGCATAATGAAATTGATTTGATCAGATAAATATTAATATAAATACCTTCTCTTTTTTCCCGCATGTTGACTACTACTGTGAGTGACAAAAAAATGTAGGCTTACATGTAAGTTTTATCAAAGTAAGACCGTTCCCCCTTCTCAACCAAAAACCAAATCCAGTTGATACTTATTGGGGGAACGAAGAAGTACAATATCAAGATAATTTATCTTAATGATGTATTAACATTAGTATGCCTAATTTAGATGTTATACTTGTTCGATCCCCAATTTTCTTCCACTGATCTTATATTTCTTGGGCAAATGTATATTCTGTTTCCATCATTCTGTTTGCATCATTAGTTGAAAGTGAAGAAATCGTGGAAGCGCTGACAAAAAGCCGCCGCTGCATCGTGTTACTGTCAGCAGATTTCTACCGGCATTCATCGTCCTCATCATCGCAATCTACATCAGGAAGGATAGAAACTACAGCTGCACAACTGACTTCCTCGTCATCATCATCGTCTTCTCCATCATCGCCATCATTTTCTGGGAACGATCTTTCAGGAAACGAATGGCATTTGTTTGAACTCCATCACGCGTTGGACACCATGCACCCAAACGTCATCCCTCTGCTCTACCGAGACTCCGGGCCAACCTCCTTGTCGAACACCGACTCGAATGCCAAGCTGATCGACCACGTGATCAAGGATGTCACATGTTTAAAATGGAAGCAGAAGGGCGAGACGTGTCTCGATGATTGGGCAATGAAGCGGTTACGACTCCGACTACCACCGCGTCGACAAAGCAGTAATTTACCGATTGAACAATCAGCGTATATTACGATGCCGGTAATGTCAGCCGCAACGCCGTCAAATATCTTGTAGATATATGAGTGCGAGGTATTGTGAATGGATATTTGAAAGCGTGTTCACTCGTCACACAACATAACTCTTATTTTTATTTTAGCTACGAGGAAACAAGGTTGCACTGACAATAAAATACATGAAAGAAAGTATTCCCTTTTCGTTAGTTTATTGGGTACTGATGAGGCTGGCCGTACACTTGCAAAGTGTAGCCAAGCACAAGCCGAAGAATCGGAATGAAAATGCATAAATGGTAAATGTGAATATTGCACGGAGATTACATAATGATCAATGATGATAATGAACATGAATAAATGCGATGTACATAATGAATGTGAATAAATGCGCGCGTACATAAATAGAGCTTACGACAATAGTAGAAATGAAGTCGAAAGTCCAAAGAAGATGAAGATGAAGAGAGTTGAGAACGAAGGAAGGGGCTCACGCGATGAAATGTGCGGAGGCTTGATGGCGGAGATGTAACTTCGTTGTCGTGGCTGAAGAGCCGTGAAGAATCTCGACGCTGACGTCCGTGATGATGATGAATGTAGATGGAGCTCTCGGGCGAGAAGAGAAGAGAAAAAAGTTACGCTCGACGATGAAACAGTGAGTCGTTTGATGTCGGAGGCCAAAGTGGAAAATGCAGACATCAAAGCCGGTAGTGGTGCTGAGCAGTGAGTCGCTCGATTGATGAGCCGAACTTTGATGATGAATGTTTAGATGAGCTGCGGTGAGTCGAGCTCATGTGAGTGAAAGACTACCGGTGAAGAAACTGGCAGCTCCCAGCGGATAACCAAGCACCATATATGTCGGAACTTGATTTAACTGTTCCACTGGAAGACTGCAGCCCGATGAACACGGCAGAGAAAGTGAAGATGTGCCGATAGAAGTGATAGGCACGGTAGAATCAAACCCGGAGAGGAAATCATGCAGAGACGTGTTGACTCAATTGAGATGTAAGCAGGAGTTGTTGACTCGACCAAGTTGGAATTAGCGGGAGTGGAGAAAAACTTCGTGGAGTTGAAAATACGCGGGGTGAACAGTGCGGAACCACGATGCGCGATTGGAAAGAAATACACACGTGGCCCGAATAATGAGTATAAATAAGTACCGTGATGGAAAAATACAGGAGACATGAATGTACGGTGAAAGTAGGGCGAATGTAAGAGCCGCTACAATCTCATCATCGATATCATTGACGTCCCCATCATTGCTAACTACTGAAAGACCATATGCAGTCGATTCCAGCCTACAACATTTAACATCGTTATCTGGGCCGGATTCAGCAAGGTCCGGTGGACTCGTCGTCGGGAAAGCTTCGGGCTCGTCCCGGCAGAACCGACCTTCATCTCAGTCCTCAGAAATATCCTTCATGTCGACGACGATGTCTCCTCCGCTGTCGCCGACGGCGCCGATGTCCTAATCATCCAGTTATGGATCTTCCACCTCGTCCTCACTTTTCTCGCCTTCCCACCCGGTCCACGCAAACGAAACTGACAATCTTAACTCATTCCAAGAATATCAGCCAAATTCAAACACAATCAACTCCTCTCTCTCCATCTTTCAATTCTTCCTACGACCTAAAAAGGGGCCTCATTTGATTGATAATGAGAGCAATCCAGGATACATATAGTCCACATGGCAACACTCTTTTCAGCTTAAAGAGACAGTTGAGTTCTGGGGAGAGGTAAAACAAATTATTGGTGAGCATAATCATTGTTATTATGCAAATGTGTAAGAACATAAGAGAAAATTTACTATAAAATTTACGAATATATCATTTCCGAAATGTTGTACAGTTGTCAAGTATAAAAGGCAAAGCAATGTGTTAACACAATTGATAATAAATTACCATTGGCCGTCTTCTGAACATTTAAATTCATCTTTAACAATCCAGTTATTTGCACACTTATCAATTCTTAATAATGTTTCCATTGTTTTTAACATGATTTTCTGTCTCATTTTTCTTTTGTAAACTTTAAAAAAATATATATATATATCCACCATCCATCATGACCATTGGAATTAACTCTTCTTATAAATACAAAACAGAACCAATATCACAAAATATGCTCGTTAAAAAACAAAATTAATGTCAAAGATCTGGAATTGTCTCATATTCCGTATGATCCACTTTTACAAATACCCTACAGATTATAACAATATTTGTTTGTTTGTTTATGATACAAGATGAAAGGGCTCTTCCATGCAACCCAATTCTCTTTTTATTTATTTATTTTGCTTTACATATCATTCGAGTTGTATATATACACAATAAACATACTTCAATTCAGAACTTAAAAAACATGAAATAAATACCATTTTTCATGAGACAGTATTGTTTTCTCTTGTGTAGTTTGCTGTTCTATGATTAAATTTCTCTTTGCACACACTTTTAGCTGATAATGATCGATTGGTATATCGACTGGTTGATCGACTGGTTGATTAATTGATTGATATGATAGAATGTTGATTAGTTGGATGATTGATTGTTTGGTGGTTTCATTGATTAATTGATTGGTTGGATAATTGATTGATTGATTAGTTGGATGATTGGTTGATCGACTGGTTGATTTATTGGCTGATTGATTGGTTGACTGGATGATAGATTGATCAATTGTTTTTATATATCAAAAAGAAGAATGAGACCCAAAAGAGCTCGGCTAAAACATTTCTTAGTTAGGAACACCGTATCCAAGATTGCAGTAATTTCTTCCTTTCAATATACTGCTCCAGGTATGTTGGGAGGGCTACAACCTTATGAAGTCTCAATGCATGAGGGCCACAACCTTATGAAGTCTCAATGCATGTATATTACACATTCTCACTCTTCTTCTACACCTTCTTTCCTTGCCCTCTTCTTCATCTGCTTCTTGCTCTCCTCCCATTTCTTCTACTCTTTCTGTTTCTTGTTTCCCTCCCTCCTCCTTTCCTTTCTTTTCTCCTCTTACTTGTCTCCTTCTCTATCTTTTTTCCTCTCTCTCTCTCTTCTTCTTCTTCTCTTTTTTTACCGCGGCATATTTGAACAAGCCATAATTTTTGAGTCTCTTTGATACATTTAGGACTTACTCACAGATTTCACAGTGGGTTCCTGTATCTCCTGCATTGCACATTGGCACGTGTAACTGGTCAAGCTGTTCTTGCAAGTGCCTCCATTATAACAGGGTTCGCTGGCACAACCATTAGCAGTGCCTTACGAACATGACGTAACAAAGAATAATATGTTATCAATTCAGTTAAAGGTAAAGACCAGTATTGGCAACGCCCCAATTTCAAAAAATGAAATGGAAGCTCTCATTACCAATCATGTGAAAGAATATGTTTTGACTAATACATGATGATAAAAAATTTGCCGGGAAACCGCCTACTAATTCATATATTTGGTAAATTTATTTCTCTCATGGTCTGGTGAGAGAGATAGGGTAGTCCCATATACATCTTTCTGTGTATAGTGCTTGTAACTTTACGAAGAATGAGCCAAATTTCTTATCATTTTGATGATTCCAGAACCTTGCAGATGCTAGATGCTAGATGATCGACCTTTTCTGATCGGTTCCACAACGTTTCTTTCACAATGCAATCGCATGACCATTACTGGTCTTTACCTTTAAGGCTTTTTTGACATCCACGATCAGTGACAGATACTGGGAGATGGTACGTGCCTCCTCACCGGCATAAAAAAGTAGGGGAAGGGTAAAGAAGATAGAAAGAAATGAAGATTCCTAGAGTGAAGAGCCCCCCCCCCCTTTTTTTTTTTTTTTTACTTGTCAGATAATTGTGTATTCAAAAGGGCATACCAAAAACCTTATATTTTTTTTCTTTTGTAAAGCCCCTCTAAAATGTTGGGACCCCCAAAATGTTCATCACTTAAGCTGTATCATAATGTTAAAGGATTTTTAATAGAAACATGTTTAAAGTAGAATATTGGTGAAAGAATACAACACTGAGGTTTTTTGCTTACCACAGGGGGGGGGATCTTTGCATCTTTGACATCCTCTTTCACATTATGATACAGTTTAAGTGAAGGCACCATAATGATTACAGTACACACCAATACTACTAATGCTACATAATAACTTTTCTGATTTTCAGGGCTCCGGTCTGTTAGTGAAGTAGAAACATGATGTCACAAAATTAAATTTCGGGGAAGGCGTGCAGGAACAGACTGGTACGTACACAAGGAAATTCCTCGACATTGTATTAAACCATGGACCATGTCAATGGTTGAACAAAGATGCACAGGAAAGAATGGTGTCACGTGATTACGGTGGTTTAGTACTGAATGGAAAGGGAAAAACCCCGAGTTGTCCAGAGGAGTGCCTCGATTATTTTTAAAGGTCATTTATTCTTTTATGCGACATGGTTTTCTGGGGTGTGTACGAAGATGACTTTTGTCGCTGATCACGCTATAACGTGAATCGGGACGTTAGAATGACAATTAGACTCTTTCAATGTGTGAGAGAGAGAGAGAGAGAGCTAGAGAGAGAGAGAGAGACATAGACAGCGAGAGAGAAAGAGATAGATAGAGAGATCTAGACAGAGAGAGACTGAGAGAGATAGAGAGAGAGACAGACATAGACAGACAGAGACAGAGAGACAGAGAGAGACTGAGAGAGAGAGAGAGAGAGAGAGAGAGAGAGAGAGGAGAAGAGGGGAGGCAAACATCAATCACAGAAATCAACCTTTTGTGGTGTTTTTCCAAGAAGTTACCAGCAACTTCTTGTTGGTAACTTCTTGGTTTTTCATAATCAAAGAGCCGGAAACACATTGGCCCGAATTCACAAAAACCTTGGTTTTCGTACGTCATATGACGCGTTTTACGCGTTTTTTACAAACCTGGTTTGTAAAGAACAAAAGGAGGTTTGGCGAAACATAAGGAGGTTTGAGCTCAAACCTTGGTCTGAGCTCAAACCTTGCTTTGTGAATTCGGGCCATTAGGTCTATAGATCGAGACACCACCATTTTGTACAGAACCACTCTAGCGCAAGATGCCATTGTAATAGGCTGTTCGCATACTATAAACATGAATCATCATAACTCACAAAAGGTTGTACATAATGTGAATTTTACCGCACCACACTTAA